AGAGGGCGCGGAGGCGCGGGAGGGGGCGTCGAGGCGGCCCCCCGACTGCCAGCCAGCCCTGGCTGGCTCTCCCTTCGCACCAGTTCACCCGGCTGGTTGTTCCTGCCCTCACCGCTCCACACACACACCACACACACCACACACACACACAGCGTCGAGGCGGCCCCCCGACTGCCAGCCAGCCCTGGCTGGCTCTCCCTTCGCACCAGTTCACCCGGCTGGTTGTTCCTGCCCTCACCGCTCCACACACACACCACACACACCACACACACACACCACCACCACACCACGCCTCCCCCCGCAGGCCTGGGCCCCACCCTGGAGTTCTACACCCTGCTGTCCCACGAGCTGCAGCGCAAGTCGCTGGGCATCTGGCGCCACGACGACGCAGCCGCAGCAGCCGCAGCCGCGCCGCCGCCGCAGCCGCCCGCCGCGCTGGCAGAGGGGGCCAAGCCGGCCGCGGACGCCGCCCTGAGCGGGCCTGGCCCTCTGGAGGGGGAGCTGGATGCGGAGGGCGGGCAGCTGAGCGAGGGGGTGCGGGCTGGGGAGCTGGTGGCGGCGCCGCACGGTCTCTTCCCCGCCCCGCTGCCGCCCGGCAGGCGCGGGGACGACGGCAAGGTGAGGCGCGCTCGCAGCCAGAGCGGGGGCCGGGGCGCCCCTGGGGGCTGCCGCTGCTCCGCCGCCGCCTGCCGCTCCTGCTCGCCTCGCTTCCCTCCTGCCTCTCCTGGCGCCCCTCGCTGACACATCACCCCCTGCCCTGGCTCCCACCACCACCACCCCCACCCGCACAGCCCGCGGCCTACTTCCGCCTGCTGGGCCGCGCCGTGGCCAAGGCGCTGCAGGACTGCCGCCTGCTGGACCTGCCGCTGTCGCCGCTGCTGTACCGCCTGGCGCTGCAGCGCCGCGTCGACCTGTACGATGTTGCCGCCCTGGACCCGGCACTGGGTGGGTGTGGGTGGGGGTGGGGGGCTGGATGGCTGTGGCTGTGGCTGCGAGGGTGTGCGTGTGGTGTGTGTGTGAAGGCTTG